AGAGTCTACAGATGAAAACATTCTGAGATAAATATGTGGTCATATACTGGAAAGGAAAATAATCTGTGGTACAAAGTTTCCTGATCACAAGGGTGATCTTGTAGCTTTAGCAAAGACTAAGGGAACATTTAGCCGTATACAAGGTAGCAGTATAGACTAGAAATCTTGGAACTATCTGCGGTTGTCGAGTGATCAGGCTGTGGTTCCTGTTCTTTTTTTTTATGCCTGTTATTTGGAAGCAGTTACTAGAGTGAGTTTAATTAATTGTGCTAAATGATGTCATATGGAGTGATTTTCATGAATAGTGCACTTGTGCAGGGTGCTCGTACTCGTGTGTCATGCACCTTCCTGTGTGTCTATTGTCCTATCTAATGCAGCAACTGTACAGTGAATAATTTCCTACAGCAATTACAACCAAGAAAACTGCAAGCTCAGTGACCTAGACAGACTCATCTTACTTCCAAATTCCTGAAGTCTGAAAAAAGATTGCTCCAACAAAGTGCAAAAATGCATGCTTACAATTATTTCTTCAACATCAGTAAGTCTTAAACATAAACCCAAGTGTATTCATGAATCTGGGCCTGGGAAGACAGAAGGCTTAAAAGAAATTTTAAGGGAGCTGGAGGATGTTTGTAACTGCATATAAAGTGGTTTGATCCTTTTCATTTCTGAACCACTGGCACCACTTCAGTTTCTGGTGAAGCTCATCTGCACAGAGAAGTTCAGCAAATCACAGACCTGCTCACAATATGCTGCAGCATCAAGGCCAGATTTTGCAACTTGCCATTCAAAATGCTCCTGAAAAAAATGCTGGCATTTCAGAAGGAGACTCCCATGGATAAAGAAGTTCCTCTTCAATCCTTGACCATAATCGCTTTTCAATTGCTTTTCAAATAGTGGGTCTTTTTTTCTTTTCTTTCTTTCTTTTTTTTTTTTTCATTCACTAAATAGGTGACTGGTCTTAATTTTTTCTCATTTCCTTTAACTTCTTACTGCCTGTCTATCCCTTTGACCTCAAACAACTCCTTTCAGAAGAAATCTGGGTGATTTTGAACAGATGTAGAGACATGACAGAGTTCATTTAGAACATAATCAACAGATAATAATAGGGTACTCAGAGAAATTGCAGTGAATGACAAGTACCATCAGCCTTTTCAAAACAGCCAAATTAGACATTTTTAACTCCACATGCACGAGAGTGTCAGAAGAAGCAGGAAATGACTAATTTGGAATCCTTTTATTCTAGTTTTAAAAAAATGATATTGTAGCATTCTCGAACATAATCCTGATCCTTCCCTACTCAGTCCCTAAGGACAATAAAACCTGTGTTCATATAGCCACTTGTTATTTGAAGTAGGCCAGCTCTCTTGTGTGCATGCTGGCTCCCTTCATCTTTGCTTGCCAACACTCAGTGTGTCAGGATGAGGCCCCAGTGTGCTTCATGTATGATTTGTGGGTTTTCATTACTGCATAGATTGATCTTCTCTATGAAACTCACAATCCTCAAGCTTTCATACTGTGGATTTTAATCAGAGTAATTAAGAATGTCTGCGTTATTGTCACTATCTAGAAATAAAACACATAGGACAAGAGGTCCCATCCAAAGCTAGTCACACCGTGCTCACAGTGCTCCTTCGTTCAATGCAGTCTATGCCAGGTCTTGGATGCTCCCAAGTGTGTGAAATGTGTATGATCTGTACAGCATTGGCACAGAAAACAGCACATCGGTACATCCAGCTCACATTTTGCTTATATTTAGGCTTCTCTCTACTTTTTACCTTTTACTATGACTCCCAAGTCATTATTTTAAACACAAGCAGGTCATTTATTCTGCTTGCATTGCCAGAGCTATTGTATGGAAGCTAGAGACATGAGAAGATGGCCTGGTGGTCTCCTGGTAATCTCAGATTTTAGTGAAGCCTTTTACATGCACTTGTAAAGGAAAAGATACGTTAGGAGAATCACTGAATCCGTATTCTCAACGTCAGACAGAATAAGCTTTTTGTGCTAACTGTGAGCACCAAGTCAGTCAGTGCAAAGAGCTCTATGACAGCTGCTTTTGCAAGTGGGATCTAGTGAAAAGATGCAGCAAGTTCAATGATCCTGAAGGCATCTCAACACAGGCAAAGACTCTTCCAGCAGTAATAAGCTGCTGGCCTGACCATTTGCACGTTCACTGGAAGGTTATTTACTTAATTTTATCCATTTTACCTTACGTATCTTGGGTAGATTGGGTTACTGCTTTTGAAAATGTAAAAATGATTTTGAACACAAAACTGTCTGAACACAACAATTTCTGAAAATGTGTAAAGCCAGTGGAAAATTTAAGCTTGGAGGAGAATGAAACTGGGTCCTGACTGAGTGTACCAGCCTGTCATTTACAGTAGCTTCAGAGGCACTTCCCTCGTTCCTAACTGAATTACTTCAGAAAGGAGTAGAAGAAAAATAATTTGACACTTCAGAGGCACTTTCCTCGTTCCTAACTGAATTACTTTCCTTAAAGAAAGGAGTAGAAGAAAAATAATTTGAGTTAATACATATTCGCTAGGCAGATGATGTGGAAATGGTGATGAGAATTACCTAAAATATTCTGGCTAAGAGATAAGCTTGAGAGCTTTGCAAACAGTGTATGAATAGAGAATGGTATTAAAGCTTTGAAAAGTTATCACCCTTAATTTTATAACCTTCTGGACTAATTAAATGTCTCCATTACCTGCAGAAAGTGGGTATTTCCTTCCCAGACTACATCTCTTTTCAGATCTATCTGTATTCATCATCCTTCGCAATTCCTGCAGTTACTTCCAGGGTGCAATTTGTGCTTGGGCATCTATTTTTTCACTGAACAGACCTCTCTATTTATTGAAATTCATATTGGCATGGTGAAGATTAAAGCACAGAATTGATTAGAGAGGAGCGCTTTGAATCCATAAAGTACAATTTGTCTTTCGTTTACATTTCAGGCCTCACTTCACCCTATATTTGATAACATTCACCCTACAAACTCTATCTTCACAAAATATTTAGTAACTAGATTTAGATGCAAATGTATGATCACTTTCTGCCTTTTTGTGAAGGCTTCTTAAATTCTCGTCCCTTAAATGGGCACTTTTACAGCAGTCTCAGTGTTCCAGTTTCTGCTATGGGACATGCAGCTGCTCTGGCAGAGATAAGTACTTGTTTGTTGGTACATTAAGACTCTTCCTAATTATGATTTTGAGCTTTTGCTAATTACCATTTAAAAACACTACAATCAGGACATTCTGATTTCACTGCTCAAGAAAGAAAAGGAAACTCCAAATTTCAACCTTTTGGACAGGTAAAAGGATGTGAAAGTACAAATTCCAGCTCCCAGAAACACTGCAGGGAGGCTCTTCCTCACCTCTCCATCTCAGCCTCTTCTCAATACTCATCTGAGACAGGATCTTCCTCTTTCTAAGAGAACACTAAATGCTGTTAAATAATATGTCAAATAACACCAAATAACATTGTTGCAATAAAATTATTGTGTTATCCTGACTTGCTTTTGAAATAGTTGGCCTTAAATAATATGTGCAATAATAGCGTTGTGTTATCCTGATCTGACTTAGGAAGGAAAAGTCTGCTGCATCAGGGCAGCATGTGACAGCCTATACATGAATACTCGGTGAAAGATTAAATGTAAACAAAGTTTGAGGAGGGGGAAGGAAGGCGTTAAGCAACGACTAAAAAAAGCTGTAAGAAAATGTCCTCAAACTAACTTGCATAAGAAAATATTTCATTGTCAAAAACACCTTATTTCTGAGGGGGAATAATTGTCTGAAGAAATTTAGCCACCTCCAAGAACAACATCATCTTTTAGACAGCACTAGACTGCCTAATTAACTGCTGTTTGCAGAGTGCTTTGAGATCTTTGGCTAACAAGGAAGGCACGTAGCTATGTGTAAATGTTAGAACTAATAATTTAGAAAATATAGGAGTACAAATGAGTATCATTTAATCAAAGCCAGGTTTGGTGATCTTCTTTTTTGGTTGCTTGCTTAATTAGATAAGCTGCTGAATTTAATTAACTCATCAACCTAATTTGAAAAGACCTCTCAAGTCAGTAAGAGCTTGACTTATGCTTATCATTTCTATTTGTTGCACCAGGTCTTTAATATCATCATTTTGTTAGTGTATTAACAGTAGCCTTAATTGTGTTTTAATTTATTTCATTTACTCAGATGATGCCATTTTGTTCCCTCCCTTTTTTCTAAGAGCTTGCATGTGAAAATCATGACTCAATTTAAGGCAGTGAAATTGCTCTTGCAGCTTTCCATCAAGTAAGCTACATACCAACCCTTTTCCCATAAGTATAATTTGGTCTTGTAAAGTAGGAGTTCTTTTTTTTTTTTTCAAGGTGAAATTATTTCTTAAGAAATCATGTTGAGTTTCTGGGGTCATGTTTCCTAGAGAAACACTACGATAGAAATTATTCTCTGGATATGCTTTTGGAATTGGTTAACCAAACTGCTAGGTAATAAAATTTAAAGTGAAATTGGTATTACAACTATATAATTAATTTGAACCCTTTCGGGTAAGACGACACAGTCTGATGAAACAATTTGGAATTCTTCCAAAGTTCCTGAAGAAAGAGTTAGTGTTACTAAGAAAGAATCTAAGTCACAGAACTCTTTGACCATCTCTTCATGTTCCTGGGAGATATACTCCACAGTGAGGAAAGGTGAGGTGATTGTTTAAAATATCATATTTCAGAGTTTCACTGTAATATCTTACAAAACTTATTGTTCTGTGAAGTGTGTTTTATTACAATGCAGATAGGAGAAACTGCTGAGCAGTTCTGAGAGCAGTTCATGTGTATTTGTGAAAAGCAAGCTATGTGCTAGGTGAAAGAGATGCTTCTTAATATTCTAGCCAGGGGGGTTTGCAGAGAGATCCTTGCTCACAGCTGCTCTCTCTTGCTTTTTGATTCCATGTGTTTTTCTGAGGGATGTTTGCAAGTGCACATGTCTGTTTTTTCCTAGAACGACTACAGGAAGCTATCTATGCAATGCAAGGACTTCGTGGTGGGGGTGCTGGACCTCTGCAGAGACACTGAAGAAGTGGAGGCAATTCTGAACGGAGATGTGAACATACACTTGTGCCCTGACCACCACCGGCCAAGTCTGAGCAGAATTAGGCTTGCTATTAAATATGAGGTCAAAAAGGTAAGCTTTATCTTTGGGTGCCTGGCACATCTCATAGTATTTATGCTTCACAGCCACTTGCAGCCATCAAGTCTTACCATTTGTGTGATGTTAAAGAGTGAACTTCTGCAGAAAGCAGCAATTTTGTCATAAGCGAGAGCCCTTACAGCAGTTTGATGGAAAACGGAATTCAAAATTAAAAGAAGGCATTGTTGGCTTTTTGTTCATAACTATATCAAAACCTTGAAAATCAAGGTTTGGTGAATATTCTGATGTTCTAATCTTGATTATTAGTTTTTTGCAGAAGCATGTGGAAAATAGATAATGATTGGTTTAAAAAAAATAAATCTCCATTTTCCCTCTCTTGCAAAGCTCCAGACCCATATTCTAGGAGCTCAGGTTTCCAGCAAATCTGCTTTTTATTTTTAATGTTATTAATTCACCAGATACATAGGGGTGTTTCATATGAAAGATACTCAAAGCTCCTCTACTAATAAAAGAAATACGGGTTTTAAAGGAAAGCATACTGTTTGACTTGTAGTTTTATTTTGTTTTGGGGGAGTTTAGGGTATTTTGTTTTGGTTTTGGGAAGTACTTTTTTTTTTTTTTTTAACTGGCTTTAAGGAAGTGTGTTCTATGAATGGCAAATTTAATTCTGGCAAACCCTGGGTCTGGGTGGTCCCAATTAATTGCTCCTACAATATGCATTGATGGAAACTGGGCTCTGCAACTGGGCTGGGAGAGCTTTCCAAATTTTCCAGCTAACATCTGCTCCTGCTTTCCCCTCACAAACCCGCCACCTGCTTTGATCCATCTCTCAATAGCGCTACTGTGCTGGCCAGAGAAGGTCTCTTCCTGTTATGAAAGCCATTAATTAAAGAGAATCTTAAAGCTCTTATTAAAGAT